TTTTTTTTTTAATGTTTATTTAGTGTTGAGAGAAAACAAGTGGGGGAGAGGCAGAGAGAGAGGGAGACAGAGAATCCCAAGCAGTCTGTGAACTGTCAGCCCAGAGCCCAATGTGGGGCTCTATCTCATGAACCATGAGATCATGACCTGAGCTAAAATCAAGAATCAGACGTTTAACTGACTCAGCCACCCAGGCACCCCAGAATCATTGAGTCTTGAATGCATGACTTAACTCACTGCATGGATTCTACTGGGATGCAGACTGAAAACATCTGGGCCACTAATTATTTGTATCTTTTTCTTTTTTCTTTTCCTTTTTTGCGTATTTATGATGTACGTAACACAAAAATATAGCAGCACATGTACGGAGACTCGTGTGCTGAGTTTTTACATTTTAATGAAAGGGGTATGGGAATTAGAAAGCCAGTCAGCTGGATCAGCAGCACTACTGATGAATCACATGGAGGCAGGGTGAGGGAAACACTGCAACAAGTGTCGCCCTGCCACTAATACTTAAAAAGGTGCTACTATTAATATTTACCCACATGATTGATTGAATGTTGAGGGTATGTTTAAAATATGAGGTTCATAAGAGATAGGGGTAGACTCCCTAGAAGAACTAGAGGAGAAAGATTAAAGACTGAACCACAGCACCTTTACAGTTAGTAACTAGTAAATTAGTCATCTGCATCTCTATTTCCCACCGTACCAGTTTCTCATCCTTGGCACTATTGGTATTTTAGGTGGGATAATTTTTTGTTGTAGGGACTGTCCTGTGCAGTGAGGATATTTAGCAGCGTCCTTGCCTCTCTACCCACCACATGCCAGTAGCACTGCCATCTACCCACCTGTGACAGCCAAAAATGATTATTAATAGTGCCAAGTGTCCCCTGGAGGGCAAATCCTGGTTGAGAATCACTGCCCCAGGATACAGGCTGCGTGAAGGCATTGCCAATACTGATCTTGTTCCCGTCTGTGTCTCTAGCACATACCACAAATCCTGGAATATGGTAAACACTCAGTGAATTTTTCTTGAATAAATAAGTGAATCATAACTCTATAAATATGCAGTTTAAAGTGCTATAACATCCTAGTGAATTCAGCTGCCATTTCTTACAACAGTCTTTTGTGCCGCGTGTAACAGCCTTTCTATCTTCCAATTTATAGGTGGATTTCCTGTGAAGACCGACCAGTTGAAATTTATAAACTCGCCAAATTTAGTAGCATTTCCATTTCCTTATTCAGCAATTTTGGAAGACATGGATGGGTCTCTGTCTGGGAGAAATAGAAGTCATATTCTTGCTTCTATGGAAACCCTTCCAGCTTCTTGTTTGGTCAACGCAAGCTTCAGTCAGATTGTTCATGGCAGTGTCTGTGGGGAAGATGTTCACTTTCATCGTATGTCTATTGGTTTGTAAGTTGAATTAACCATACTGATCAGCTTGCCAGTGAGCATATCATTCAGGCTGTTGGGGTTGGGGCTGTTTATTGAAGGGATATTGTTTTCTATATCCTATTAAAAGTATTTAGTTAGATAAAAATGATATGAGAATACGCTTGACAGCTGTCAAATCATAAGTTTATGGTAGTTTGAGTCTTATTCAAATGACAGCTAACTTTCAATATTAGTGGACCAGATCACTTAGCCCATGACCTCTTATTGACATTTTGAGCTAATGGCATCTTCTTAAAAAGACTTGGAACCAACAGAGAATTTGAAAAGTAATTTTTTAACTTTATAGTGGTATTTTATTTTTTTATTTTTTAAAAAATTTATATTTTTTAATTTAAATCCAAGTTAGTTAACATGTAGTATAATAAAGACTTTAGGAATAGAATTTTCGTGATTCATCACTTACATATAACACCCAGTGCTCATCCCAGCAAGTGTCCTTCTTAATGCTACTCATACCTTTAGCCCTTTCCCATATGCAACACCTTGCCAGCAACCCTCAGTTTGTTCTCTGTGTATATGAATCTCTTATGGTTTGTCTCTCTCTCTGTTTTTATATGATTTTTGCTTCACTTCCCTTATGTTCATCTGTTTTGTAACTTAAATTCCACATATGAGTGAAATCATATTTGTCTCTCTGACTTATTTAGCTTAGCATAATACACTCTAGTTCTATCCATCTTGTTGCAAATGGCAACATTTCATTCTTATTGATTGCTGAGTAATATCCCATTGTATATATCTACCACATCTTTATCCATTCATCAGTCAATGGACATTTGTGCTCTTTCCATACTTTGGCTATTGTCAATAGTGCTGCTGTAAACATTAGGGTGCATGTACCCCTTTGAATCAGCATTTTGTATCCTTTGAATAAATACCTAGTAGTGCAATTGCTGGGTCATAGGGTAGTTCGATTTTTAAGTTTTTGTTGAACCTCCATACCATTTTCCAGAATGGCTGCACCAGTTTGTATTCCTACCAATAGTGCAAAAATGTTTCTCTTTCTCTGCATTCTTGCCAACATCTCTTGTTGTCTGAGTTGTTAATTTTAGCCATTTTGGCAGGTGTAAGGTGGTATCTCATTGTGGTTTTGATTTGTATTTCCCTGATGATGAGTGATGCTGAGCATTTTTTTCATGTGTCTGTTGGCCATCTGGATGTCTTCTTTGGAAAATTGTCTATTCATGTCTTTTGCCCATTTCTTCACTGGATTATTTGTTTCTTGGGTGTTGAGTTTGATAAGTTCTTTATAGATTTTGGATACTAACCCTTTATCTGATATGTCATTTGCAACCATCTTCTCCCATCCTGTTGGTTGCCTTTTAGTTTTGCTGATTGTTTCCTTCACAGTGCAAAAGTTTTTATCTGGATGAGGTCCCTATAGTTCATTTTTGCTTTTGTTTCCTTTGCCTCTGGAGACATGTCGAGAAGTTGCTGTGGCCAAGATCAAAGAGGTTGTTTCCTGTTTTCTCCTCTAGGATTTTCATTGCTTCCTGTCTTACATTTAGGTCTTTCATTCATTTTGAGTTTATTTTTTTGTATGGTGTAAGAAACTGGTCCAGGGTCATTCTTCTTTCTGCATGTCATTGTCCAGTTTTCCGAGCATGATTTGCTGAAGAGACTGTCTTTTTTTCCATTGGGTTTTATTTCCTGCATTGTCAAAGAAAGATATTTAAATCAGAAGTATTATTAAAAAATTCTTACAATGTCCATTCTCATTTATATACATGTACTCTCCCCAAGCTCTTTTTAAGTGTTCAGTATGCTCTGGGGAAGCAATTGATGATGCCTTCCTATTATTTGCAAAGTTGCTCCACTCCAGTTCATTTTCCTTGTTAATTTCATGAACTATTGGATTCGTACAATACATTTCCTATTAATATTGGAGCAAGGACTCCTTGGCTATGCTAGTCAAAGTACCATTAAGTCAGCAGCTAGGCTGTTTATAATGCATAATAGGATTGCTTCTGCCCTCTTTAATTTCCAGGTAATGATTGCTGAGTGTCTAGGGTTCTATCTTTTACCTATTTCAAATGCATTGCATATATTTAGCCACACTTCTTTCCTTCCATTGTTTTAAGTGTCCTAAGTGCATGAATATTAAGTCAAGTGATTCAGGCAGACCGTGTTGGCATCTTATTTAAACAGGTAAACTCCACAGTAAGTCAATGCCATCAGGACGGCACTAAGTCTGCATTTTGATTGCATATGGAATTAGTTTCCTGACATTCTCTTTTGGAAACCTTAGCAGTACAGTGCTAACATTGAATAGTCTTAAAATTCTCCGCTTTTGCCTTCTCGACTGTTTATTAGTCTATCAGATGTTAATGGGTCTAATTCTAGTGAGCAAAATAGCAATGTGGAGAGATGTATTTTCATTTCTAATCATTTCATTTGTGCAGTGCATACTTCCTGTTTTCATTCTCAAGGATGCATCCTGAGTATTATTGTTAGTTTAGTGATTTTGCCAAAGATGTTTTTAATGAATTGTTAGTTTAGTGATTTTGCCAAAGATGTTTTTAATGAATGAGATTTATAAAAGTTAGTGATGTATTTTTTATATGCCTTTCTTTTCAAATGGGAAAATTAATAGATTTGTGTAGTTAAAAAGAGCATGATGTGTTTGTATATTTATTTGACTGTGTTTTTGATATTCCTTTTTTATGCCTTACTTTGAGAACTACTGGAGACTGTCTCTTGGAAAGGTGCTAAGCAGGGGAGTAGGAGATACAGGCTTCCAGTTGTGGAATGAATAAGTCATGGGAATAAAAGGTATAGTACAGGGAACGTAGTCAATGGTATTTTAATAGCCTTGTATGGTGGCAGATGGTAGCTACACTTGTGGTGGACATAATGTACAGAGTTGAATCACTATGTTATATATCTGAAACTAATGTAACATCGCGTGCCAACTCTTTTCAAATAAAAAAAAACTTTAAAAATTGAAAAAGAAAGGTACTTAGTGATGTGATGTTAACAGGCTCTGCAGATATAATCTTGGCTAAGCTTTCATTCTTGGAAATATTCAGGACAGGATGCTTAGGTGGTTACCTTAACAGTAGGTTATGATCCCAGCACTCAGGGACTGACAAGGTAAAAATGGTGATAATCCTGATATAGTATTATGAGTAGATTCAAAAGAGTCTTACTAGGATGAACGACTTGTCTTGGTTTATCTGGAGTTCTCCTGGTTGTAAAATAGAAAATCTCATGTCTCGGCCTTGAGGAATCCAGGATGATTGGCTACTCTACTCCCTACACTTCTACTTAAAATTTTTCAGGTGCACCACAGGTCTATAGGCAAATGCCCAACTACCCCAAATTAGTCTCAGGGAAGTCTCAGAACACTCCCAATTATAAGTCTCTTGGAGCTAGTTTCCTTATCTCTAGGATAAGGGGACTGAATTCAATAATCTCTTGTGCTTTGCTAGTCAAAGTGCATCAGCATCACCTGGGAGCTCCTTAGACATGGGCCACCTCAGGTCCCACCACACACATCCTGAATCAGAATCACTAGGTGATTTTTATAAAAGTTTTAGGAGCACTGCTCTAAGGTCCTTCTAACTTTATTTTCCTATGATTCTATCTCTAGCTATTTGTACTTAGTGACTTGATCTCTGTCCCAGAGCATTATAACCTCATTAGGAACATGTCAGAGCTAATGAGCAATTTGAATTCAGCGTGGATACAAACTTTGCTGCATTTCATGGAGAAAGGATTAATTTGTTGTGCTATTTGCCCTGGAGCAAGCACCCTAAGAGTTGATTTACAAAGCTCCCACAGTCTTGATCTTTTGGGGTTGCATGTTGATGGAGATCTGATATGGCACAAGCCCCCTTCTGTCTTCACTCTCAGCTCTTACCTCCCTCCCCCTGCAAGAGGTCCCCCTGCCCAAGGGCAGGGCGTGAGGCCTCTTGGAGTTGCAAAAACAAGGCATCCATTCCCCTTTGCTAACAGCTAAGTGGCTGGAGTGTGATTTCTTCCTGGGAAGGCCCCCTCCATGGTCCAATTCCACTGAAAGTTTTTTGTTTGACATTGGGGACCTTGTATTTCTGTTTCTGTTTCTCACTACCTTATTTAGGTCTGATGTGTACTCATGTTTGTGGCACTTCCTTTTTTATCGTTTCCTCTGACTTGAACCATAACAGTTGAGTTGACAGAGATATATGCATATATTTGAAGTTGGTAATAATACTTTATAATCAGGGGAAGAAGAAATTCCCACCCTCTCCAAGGCAGTCTAGTTTATGTTTTGTTAAAATGACAATGTGCTTCATTCACATGACTGCTGCTTCTCTCTCTCACCAGTTGTAAAACATGCTTTCTATAGGAGCCACAGATCTTCTGGGTAGTGTTCTTTTCCCAGCTTCTATTACTTCAAGACTCATGCTATCAACCCCATCTCTCCTGACAAAACAGGGATGGTGTTAGCCCCATTGTGTAAGTCAGGACCTCATTTCAGAAAAATAGGTCAGCAACTGTTTTTCTCCAGAGGTCCCATCATGATGATGTGCCTCACGTTGTTCCTGGATGTATTGTTTCCCCTACATTTAGATAGATGTTTTCTTCAGAATAGGGATAATTACATGGACCAAAGATAATATTACCAAGAGTTTGTTGTGTGCTCCTTCCATATCTCCTTGATATAAGCTCTCCTCCCTGTCTCTTAAATGCTAACATTGGGGCACCTGGCTGGCTCAGTTGGTAGAGCTGGCAACTCTAGATCCCAGAGTTGTGAGTTCAAGTCCCATGTTGGTTTAGAGATCACTTAAAAAAATAAATGTTAATATTTGTTAGGGTTCTGTGCAGCACTTTCCCTTCTTCTCAAGTCATACTTTTCCAAGGTGATCTGGGTTATTTTACTTAGAGTGATGCTTCCAGACTTTTTTCCTCTAGTCTATACTGCTCTACTGAATTCCATACCCATTTATCCAATTGCCCTGAGGTTCTGCAGTGTC